GTTTGCTTTGTTTAGCTACTTTTATTTAGTGGTATGCTATTTCTGGCTAGCGGTTTGCTTTGTTTAGCTAATTTTATTTAACGTTATGTTACTTTTGGCTAGCGGTGTGCTTTGTTTAGCTAATTTTATTTAACGTTGTTACTTTTGGCTAGCGGTGTGCTTTGTTTAGCTAATTTTATTTAGCTGTTTGCTGTGTTTAACTAACGTTTTTCCACTTTTTTGTTATTTTTAAGTGAGCTAAAGTTTTCCTTATTACAGACAATGTTTTGCTAGGTTTAGCATTATGCAACATTTAATTATTGATGTTTACTTTAAGCTGCTGTTTTGCTTTATTCAGTGTTTGTTCTCGTGATTTTAACTCTGTTTCTTCGGCTGATTCACTCGTTGAACAGGAAGTGAACGTCTCCGGTTTGTCTCTCTCCAGTTTTTCGGTCTCGGCGTTCGGGTCTCTGATCATCGTCGGGACCAGCAACATCTCTGAGCAGAGCATGGCCGAACTCAACAAGAAGGTGAACGATTGGGGTCCATGCCGGTTCTGACCCGGCCCGATCGCTCTCCTGGATGTTCTGTTTGTGTTTCAGGAGAACGAGATCGACGCGGTCGGCGTCGGGACRCACCTGGTCACCTGCACCAAGCAGCCGTCTCTGGGTTGTGTTTACAAGGTAACCAGGTCAGAAACCAACAGAATCTTGACCCGGTTCAGACGGTTCTGGCGCCGTAACTTCCTGTTTTGTGGTCCAAGCTGGTGGAGGTGAGAGGAAGACCCAGGATGAAGATCAGCGAGGACCCGGAGAAGAGCACGGTTCCGGGGAGGAAAGCCGTGTACCGGCTAGTGGACTCAGAAGGTGAGATGGCTCCGCCCCTCGCCCACTTCCTGTTCTGGTCTCTGCGCACGCTCAGAACCACGTCTCCGCCGCAGGTCACCCGTTCCTGGACCTGCTGAGCCTGAAGGTGGAACCTTCTCCTGAGGCGGGACGCCCGCTCAGCTGTTACCCTCTGGGGGCGGGGCACTCACCTGTTTCTGTCACTCCAGCTCAGGTGATCTGTCTGAGACAGGAAGTCTTCTCTAAAGGACAGGTGAGGCTCCAGAACCTTTGATTCRTTTATACATCATTTCTCAAACAAAATATCAACTTCTTTAGTCAATTTAACAGTTATTTAACTGTTGTGTTTTATTAAAAGTAGCAAAACAAAAGTAAAAAAATCAGTAGAAACAGCTAAAATGGGTCAAAAAAGCTGAACGGAGCAAAAAAAGTAGCTAAAATTTCATAAAGAGGTTCTAACTACTAGAAAGATGTTGCAACAAGAGAAAAGCTTAAATTGAAACAAAAACACAATGCTAATGCTACCCTTACTCTCTGGTGCTCAAGAGGTAGAGGAGCCAAATGTCTGGCTCACTGCTGCAACTTGTGGTCAGAGGCTGAACTACAACAAAAAGCAGGAAAGTTGACGTTTTAAACCTTAATTAAAAACTGATACAGGGCTTTACAATATCGATACAGTATCGGGAAATGAAATATCGCGATATTTCAGTGTTTCGGTATTTTCTTACACCCCTTAAAAGAACGCTAACAACAGCAAACAGGCTAGCCTGACCTTGAAATTAAGAGGTCAAATTTCACCTGTTGAAAGTAGACAGATGATGAAAGGAGAGGAAAAAAGCTCACATCAGCAGAAAAACAAAAAAGGACATAAAAGTTGCAATTTGTTGCAAAATAGCTAAAACAGCAGAAAAATAGTTTGAGTAACATCTTGAATAGCTAATTAGCATTTAGCATGTGGTRGGGATCACTCTCGGCTACTACTCTGAGTTAGCTCAAAGAACCTAACTCAGTACAAAACAGATGAAACTAGTTAAAACGTAGCTAAAGCGTGCTAAAAAGGCTAAAACGACTAAAAAAAGAAGCTCAAAGTAGCAGAAAAGAAATTTAAAAATGGCGCTGTCGGGAAATGAGTGTAAAAATAGAAAAGAAGCTGAAAATCAAGAAAAGAATCAGAAAACAGTCCCAGTTTGTTGTAAAATAACGAAAACAGAACAAAAAAGGCTAGAATGCAGCTGAAAAGGCTGAAATTGCACAATAAAAACTTGAGCACGTTTGCCGAGAGACAATAAAAAGCTGAAACTATCACAGAAAGATGAATTTAGTCAGGAAAAAAAAACTCAAATTAGCTAAAAACTTGGCTGAACAAAAAATTAAATAGGTAGAATAGCCGAAGGTCAAACTGAAAATGAGTGAAGAAGCTGAAACTGGCACTAAAAGAATCAGAACCAGAAAAGAACCAAAAGTGAAAGTTTCAGTAAATATTAATGAACAGTTGAAGTTTTTAAGGACGTTGAAGAAGAATGAACTATAAAACTATAAAAGAAGTTTAAACTGCTGAAATAACAAAAGTCATAGCCTGAATGTCCTGAAGGAGCMGAAAGTTTTGATTAGGGATGGGAAATCGTCCCTATTTTCAGATCATAAATCTTGGTCACTGGTTATCGCCGACAGACGATCCAATCGGCTGATAAGACATGCGCAGTTATGTTGTTAAAAAAAAAAACATGCAGGTCCGCTTATTATTAGCGACAGCTTTTTTTTTTTTTCTAAAGTTGCTTGTAAATTCCGTGGTTATTCAGCGTGTGTTCGCACATACCTTTCATAGTTCCTCAGACCCCCGCACCATGCTCCTGGGAAACCCCCCCTCCCCGCTGCTGCATACGTCACTACAGGGGATTCCTACCCGGAGGGAGTCCAATGTGGAAAAGGAAAAGTCAGACACTTGTCACTTGACATTTATCCACAAACTGGTCCAGGATTAAGCTCAAAAGTTTTTATCAGTCAGATTTAACCGTGAAAATCGTCTCTTTTATCCCCTTTATAAAGTTTTGGCCGTTTGAATATCTTTATAAATCGCTGCTTCCTGGTAGTCTGCATTCGAACGAGTCACTTTTCTTCTCTCTTTTTTTTAAGCGAGTGGTTGAAGCAAACGCAGCGTCTGAGCGCTTTTAGCACAAACAAACACTCCCACAAACTTCTGACCAATCACACCATACAGTTCGCATGTGTTCTTATGTGGAGGGGGTGAAAAGTTCAACCCACACACACAGCCCAGAGTGACGGGGATGAGCAGGGGTGAGGGAGTGCGCTCCGGTCCGGTTCAGAACAGGTTAAAGTTATTTGTTCAAATGTATGATTGTCGTGGATTATTCGTTTTGTAACTAAACGTTTTAATATAACATTATTTGGGTCTTTTGTGGCGCAACAAAGCAAGAAGATGACGAGGAGAGACGTGAAGAGGAGCTGTACGTGTAGGCTCCGACTCCGAGAAAAAAAAAAGAGATGCAGCCCTGTTATTTTATTCCCTCGTTTGCACAGATCACAATGATGATGATTAAAACATTTTAATTTACAGAGAAGGGCGCATTTAAAATTTAGTTTACATCCCTGGCACTGTATTTAATTAATTAATAAAGATCGCCCTTAAAAAAACAAATCGTATTCCAACCCTTCAATCRCCGTTAGACGATTGAATCAAAAATGACGCCATCCCTAGTTTTGATATATAAATTGTTGAAAAAGCACAAACCTTGTTTTTCTGCTATTTCAACAATTCATACCTGAAAACGTTCGGCTTCTTCGGAACATTCAAGCAGTTTATTCTTTCTGAGATATGTAGGCTTTTTTTTTTTTCACTGAAAATGAATGTAGTTATCTTCAACTTCCTTCAAAATGTTCATAAATCGTTACTAAACTTCTACCTTTTTGTTCTGGTTCTATTTTCTGCTAATTTTAGCTTCCTTCAATTGTTTTTGCTTCTTTTTTTTTAGCTATTTTCCACCGTCTTTGAACTCTTTTTGTGTGCTTCCTTTTACTTCTTACTGTTGATTAAACTTTTACGCCCGTTACAGATTCTTTCTGACATTTCAGCTACTCTTTAGCTGTTTTTTCCTAATTGTTCTTTATTCAGGTAGATGAATGTTTTAGTGGTCAATTTAGCTTTTTTTCTGCTTAATTCAGTAAACATTCTTCTTCACTTTCTTTCTAATTTCAGCTTTTTAAGTAGCTTTTCAGCTATTTATTTTAGCTTTTTTTCAACTAAATTCACCTTTTTGGGATATTTTTCTATTAATTTGAAGGTCACAAGTTTGTCGTTTTTCTACATTTTATCTTTTTTTGTCCAAATTTCAGCTTTATTTTTATTTAAAAGTTTGTTTGTAAATCTGCATTTTTTTTGTTTCTTGCAGCTTCTTTCTGGTAGTTTCAACTTTTTTTCTGATTTTAAGCTACTCTTTGTAAATATTTACTAATTTTACTTATATTTCTGCTCATTTCAGCTTTTTTGAGACTTTTTTATTTTATTTTTCTACTGATTTTTCACATTTGTTGTCCTACTTCCAGTTAAACCAGTTGTTCAAATTGAACCCACTTTAACATTTCTGCTGTTAAAGCGTTAATCAGTTGCTGTAAACTCTCTAGTTGATCATGTTTTTACCTTTAGGTCACAAATCCTCTGTTCAGCACCGCAGAAACCAGAGCAAAGGTCCAGAGCTCCCTGCAGACCCTCCACCCCCGACACAAGCGGCTGCACGAGCCCGATCCGTACACGGTGAGGCTCGGTCCGGTTCACAAACACAGAACCAGACTTTACTCCTYTTTTCTCCTCTTTWCTCCTCTTTTCTCCTCTTTACCCCTCTTTTCTCCTCTTTACTCCTCTTTTCTCCCTGCAGGTGGCGCTGTCAGAAAAACTCCACAGCCTGGTCTCCGAGCTGCAAAAAGGCAGCAGCAGAAGCAACTTTTTACTGGCCAACTAATTAAAAAGATTTATTTATATTTTCCACAGTAGAGCTACCAGCTGAGCGCGGCGAACAGGAAGTGACATCATCTCTAAATCAAACGTTTTTAATCTTCTACAAAGTGTTACTTTGATAGTTTGTTTTGTACAAAACAGGAGCCGTTAGAGAAACAAAAACAAAAATCAGTTCTTTCTACCTCAGAACTCCTAAAATCACAACGTGATATTTTGTATTTTTATCTAATAAAATTTAGTCACAACTTCACGTTTGTTGTTTTGTTTTAAAATCTTTCAGCCGTGTCGCCCCCTGGTGGTGGCATTAAATTAAATGATAATTCAGACTCTTTACGTTTATTTCTGCTCAGATTTAACCTCCGTTGTTTGATCTCAGATCGTTCCTACAGATTGTGTTTAAATTAGAAAAAAAAACTTCTTGTTGTGTTTTTGTTTGAAGGTTCTTTGTTCTTGTTTTGGTTTCTCATCACAAAATGCTACAAAATAATTTAGTTCAGGTTTCAGAAGTCTAATTACCTCCCTGCTATTTTCAGTTTTTAGCTTTAGTTTTAGGAATGRTAACTTTTAGCTTTTGCTAATTTAAATGATGAAGATACCACTTTCTTAGGCTATATTTTGATTTTAGCCACTTTTCAGTTAATGTTAGCTTTTAGCTACTGCCTTGCTAGGTTCAGTTTCTAGCTTAAGTTTTATAAATAATTTAAGCTCTGGTTTTGCTAATTTAAACTCATGGTTTTCTTAGGTTACATTTACCTTAACATTTACGGTTTAGGTAATTTTAGCTTTTTTTTCTAATTTTATCTTGAGGCTGCTGTTTTAGTTGAGCACATATCTATAATCAGCTAATTTTAGCTAAAGTTTTCCTCATTTAAAATTTGACGGTACTGTTTTCTTAGTTTTAGCTTTTAGCTACTCTTTGGCTATATTTTTATTTTAGCTATTAAGTTTATGTCTGCTGTTAGCAGTTGTTATGTAAATTTTATTTGCTTTTAGTTAATGTGTTTCAGATTTTACATAGTAAATACTGCTTTATTTTAGTTTTATTTATAGTTCAGCTAATTTTAACCTTTAGCTATCGTTAAGTTAATATTAGCTTTTAGGTACTGCCTTGCTATGTTCAGTTTTTAGCTTCAGTTTTACAAATATCAGTTTTTAGCTTTGGTTTTCTCACGGTTTTCTTAGGTTACATGTACCTAAACATTTACGGTTTTGGTAATGTTAGCTTTTAGCTTGTTTTTTTATCTTGAGGCTACTTTATTTGAGCTCTTATCTATAGTTCAGCTAATTTAAGAATTTAGCTAAAGTTTTCCTCATTTAAAATTTGATGGTACTGTTTTCTTAGTTTTAGCTTTTAGCTACTCTTTGGCCATATTTTTATTTTAGCTATTGTTAAGGTAATGTCTGCTGTTAGTTTTGTAAATTTTTATTAGCTTTTAATTGATGTGTTTCAGATTTTACACAGTAGATACTGTTTTATTTTAGTTTTTATCATTCAGGCAATTTTAGCTTTTAGCTAAAGTTTTGCTATTTTAAATTTTGAATGTAATTATTTTTTTAGTTTTAGCTTTCAGTTACAGTTTGGCAACATTTAAATTTTAGCTATCATTTAGGTAATGTCTTTTTTTAGATATTGCTTTATGTTAGCTTTTAGCTTTTGTTTTTCTAGTTTTATCTTGTAGTTAAAGTATTRTTTTAACTTCTCTATAGATAAGATAATTTTAGCTTTTAGCTATAGTTATGCTAATTTAAGCTTCAAATGTGCAGTTTTTTTTTTCATTTTAGTTTTAGCTACTGTTTGGCTACATTTTGTTATTAGCTATCGTTTAGTTAATGTCTGTTTTTAGATTTTGCTTTATCTTGTTAGCTTTTAGCTTTTGTTTTTCTAGTTTTATCTTGTAGTTACTGTTTTATTTTAACTTATTTAAATATATTTATAGCTTTTAGCAATAGTTTTGCTAATTTAAGCTTCAAAGGTGCAGTTTTTTTTTTTTTCATTTTAGCTTTTGGCTACTGTTTGGCTACATTTTGATTCAAGCTATTGTTTAGTCAGTGTGCATTGCCAATGCAATGCACACTATTGTGATTCGTTTCCCATCCAAGTCATCTCCACTTTGCCATGCTACTCCTCCTGCATACTTTGTCCTAGAGCTGCCATTGTAATTTATATCTGTAAAGGTCCTGTGCCAAATGATGGCTATGCCTTTTGGTGCCTGTACAACTTATAGGTTTTGAAATATTAATGTTTAATAATTTGTAATGGGAGTCAATAGAGCCTTGCATTGGTCCAATACTGCCCCCTGCTGTATCTACTCAGTACTGAACCATAGTTGAATATTATTTGATCTCAATAGTTTAGTGGTTACAAAACTAATATGATTGTATTTTGATGTTTTACTATAATATTGTCTTAATACTGCTCTATTTTTGTAATATATTGCAGTTTAGTGTCAATAATTGTATTGGCAATGTGGCCTCTTTCTGCACACATACAAACTAACCCCTGGCACCACCCTCGGCCACAGCTCCATTGGTCTAATGGTCTATGTCATGGACTTTCATGTGGGAGAGCAGGGTTCAAAACCCAGCTAAAGCAACTTTAACTGATAAATCTCTACTAAATTCATATTGTCACACAGTTAACCTTATTAGAGACACCTGCTGACGTGACAGGCACAAGCTGGTGTAGAAAACACATTTGAACTTGGTCAAAGTTCATTCTACAAGTCCACTGCTGCAGGCAAAGACATGCTGCAAGGCAATGCACACTTGTTTTTACATCGTAAAAACCCATKTCTAGTTAATCTTAGCTTTTATGTACCGTTTCCCTTTTTTATCTGCTAGCTAATGATTTGTTTTAGTTTTAACTAGTTTTGCTAAATGTAGCTTTTAGCTTCAGTTTGGTGATTTTAGCTTTTCTATAATGTTTAGCTTATTTGAGCTTTTAGCTACAATTTTGTTAAATATAGCTTTTTGTACAGGTTGTCTAGTCTGAGCTCTTAGCTACTATTTAATTTTTATATTTTAATCTACTTTTTTTGCTAATTAGATCTGTTAGCTACTTTGTTAGCTTTCTAATTTTAGCTTGTAGCTACACTTTTGTTATTCAATTTTTTAGCTACTGTTTTGTTAATTTCTGCTTTTCATGTTAGCTGTCACATTTAGGCTTCAGCTGTCGTTCAGCTGTTTATTCTCTGGTTTTGCTCCTTACAGACCCTGGTGGCAGCAAACAATTATCTTTTTTAACTTTTAGAAACAGAAAAAAGTTTTCACAGATCAAAACTGTATTTTAAATATTCAGCTTTTAGCACAGAATGATCTAGTCCAGGTTTGATGAGTCCAGGTTTTGTGGTTTTTTAATTAAAGCAGATTAAAGTTGGTTTTAGCCCTTTAAACTGTGGAATCAGAAGCCAACTTCACTTCCGCCTYTCCCACCGAGCTGCGGCTCTTCCTCAGGCCGCCAGAGGTCGCCCTTCTCCCGGACTCCTCCTCAGTGACTCCCCCTCTTCTTCCAGCAGCTCAGACAGAAAAAGGGAAAACATCGGATCGAGCTTTTCCGGTCCGCTGGTTCTGGTTTCCCCTCAGACCTAAAGGAGGAACGCGCAGGAGGCCCGCGGTTCGGTTCCTCCGTACGGCTCCGACGCGTTCGGTCGGCGGGGCTCTGGGTTCGGAGGTCTGCGAGGGTCCGAGGGGGTGGAGGAGGAGGGGGGGTGCCCGGTGGGAGCTCCATCCGCCGCCCCGCTGTCCGGTCCACAGAACCCGGTTTACATCCTCCGGAACCAAAGAGGATTCTGGATCCTGGTGCTGGGCTCTGCTGTCGTGGAGGAGGAGGACGGGGGTCCTGGGTGGAAACCTGAGTCCAGCGGGGATGAGAGACTGGGCTTCCCTGGTTCGGTGCCAGATGCATCTGGAAAGGATAAACCCAGAGATCCAGTCCGGCTCAGAGGACCAGAACCGAACTCACGTCTCAGAGTTTTTAAAGATGTTTTTCTTCTAATAAAGTCCACCTGAGCCACAGATCAGAACCGGATTTCTTCCTCCCGGCGGTTCTGGACATGCTGGATCTCGGATCTCTCCTGGGCGCGCACTGACAGGCTTCCAGACCCAGATCCAGATCCGGATCCGGCTCAGATGTGTGCGGCCAGGTTCGGCGGCTGCACCAACGGCTGCTCGGAGGAGGCCCCCGGTCCGGTCCCGGCCTCCAGGATGCTGCTGGACTGGGCCGAGGCCGGGCMCCAGGTCCTGCACAGCCTGGAGATGGGCACCGTGATGACGGTCTTCTACCAGAAGAAGTCCCAGAGACCCGAGAGGAGGACTTTCCAGGTCCGGCAGGACACCCGGCAGATCGTGTGGAGCCGGAACCCGGACAAGACCGAGGGAGAAGGTGAGGATCTGGGCTCTGGACCGGGTCTGGACCCGRCTCTGTAAAGCAAACTGGGACAAAGTAGAGAGGAAACTCAGCTGCTGTGTTCCTGTTTGTGTCTGTTAGCAAAATATCTCCGGAACCACTTTGTTCTWTTAAATAAGCCCCGCCCCCTCCTGCAGGTGTTACAGGAAGACTTCCCAGAATGCATCTGTGTTTCCTCTGCTCTCCAGGTGCTTTTCAGGAACTGAAACATTCTTAGAAAACAAACAAATTACTAAATTTCTGCCATTTTTACTGACGATGAGCTAAAGTTCGGCGTGGTAGTAGCCGAAAGTCCTTCATGTCAGAGTCTGAGTTTAATGACAGAAAAGGATCAAAAAATTTTCCAAAATGGCTACAACTGCATCCTGTGTCTGCACAAATTAACACCAGCCAAGAGCTAAAAGTAGCTAAACACTAGCTGAAAGCTAAAACCAGAAAGATGCTATCAGGGCAGAGTTATCTTTAGTAATAGTAGAATTAGTAGTTAAAAGTATAATTATTTGTAGTACTAGTAGGAGGCTGCAACTAGTAGTAGAAATACTAGTAGTCGTATAACTAGTGGTAGTTGTAGTAGCATTAGCAGAAGTGAAAGTACTGAAAGTAGTAGTACTGGATATAGCAATAGTAGTGGTGGTTGTAGTATTAGTACTTATAATTTGTAATAATTTTAGTATAAAATATAAAGATTAGGACTGTATGTACTGCATCAGTTTGATCTAATCCAGTTTGATTTAATCCAGATTGATTTAATCCTGTTTGATTTAATCCAGATTGATCTAATTTAGTTTGATTTAATCCAGATTGATCGAATCCAGTTTGATTTAATCCAGATTGATATAATTTAGTTTGATTTAATCCAGATTGATCCAATCCAGTTAGATTTAATCCAGTTTGATTTAATCCCAGATTGATTTAATCCAGTTTGATTTAATCCAGTTTGATTTAATCCCAGTTTGATCTAATCTAGTTTGATTAAATCTGGTTTGCTTTAATCAAGTGTGATTTAATCCAGTTTGATCTAACGTAGTTACATCTAATCCAGTTTGATTTAATCCCAGATTGATTTAATCCAGTTTGATTTAATCAAGTTTGATTTAATCCAGTTTGATTTAATCCCAGTTTGATTTAATCCCAGTTTGATTAAATCTGGTTTGCTTTAATCAAGTGTGATTTAATCCAGTTTGATCTAACGTAGTTACATCTAATCCAGTTTGATTTAATCCCAGATGGATTTAATCCAGTTTGATTTAATCAAGTTTGATTTAATCAAGTTTGATTTAATCCCAGTTTGATTTAATCCCAGTTTGATCTAATCCAGTTTGATTTAATCCACATTGATTAAATCCAGTTTGATTTAATACCAGATTGATTTAATCCAGTTTGATCTAATCTAGTTTGATTTAATCCAGATTGATCTAATCCAGATTGATTTAATCCAGTTTTATCTAATCCCAGATTGATTTAATCTAGTTTGCGCTAATTCCAGATTAATTTAATCCAGTCTGATCTAATCCAGTATGAACGAGACGATCATTTAAATCCACTCAGAGTCATTTTTTCTCTAATCTGGAGTCTCCAGCCCTTCAGAATAAAACTGCTGAGTCGGACTCGGGTCGGCAGAAACAGAAGGGACTCGTTGTCTCGGGGCTCAGGTTGCAGCTCTGGCAGGTTCTAGAACCGGAGCGGGTCTGGACCTGAAACACCAACAGCTTCCTGTGTGGACAGACGGGTCGTGACCTTTGACCCCTGCTGTCAGACGGACCGACAGGGTCTGGACTGAGGCGGTCCCCGGGGGGGGTCTTTGGTGGAAGTGTGTGTGTGTGTGTGTGTGTGTGTGTGTGTGTG